AGTCATACTTGTGGTGATATTTTATTGACTTTATATTGGATGAGCGATTACAACTATTTTTACAGAAATGAGAATATAGCTAGTCACACATACAACTTTTGGTTGTCTATTTAAGTAGTTCGCTCTAAGGTTCTACACTAGATGCCATACCTATAACCTACTAGGAGATTATTTATTTAAACCCTTTGATCATCTATCCTGTCATATTGGAATCTCCAAACTAACCTTCTGTATATACCTACCTGGTATACTGTCTGAGCAGTATGGTATCTACCCTTTTTGTACTAGTTCTCAGGCCATTACACATTTCAGAATATATCACCTGCTAGTAAGGTGCAGAGGGCCTCCTATTATTAACTATCTACCTACTTTTAGAACACTAATATAGGTTACTCTTATAGAGTTCATTCAGATCCCAGTACTGACTTCACAGCATATCTCTAGTACTTTTAGTATACCTCTGCTTTGAACCTAGACTCCCAATCCAGATAGCCCAGAAGGACTATGACCTGTCTTTGATATATTAAGGCCAACCCAATATCCTTTTCCTCTGGTCCGAAATCTGGCAGCCTGGTTGGTGATACCCTTCATCTGAGGTTCTTGCCTATCTGAATTCTTCATATTGGTATCCATTTTCTAGGTCTAGCCTTTACAATAGTACCATTAAAGATCCATGTTACCTCTCTGCTCAGAATTTTCAAGTAGGCTCCGGCTTCCCAGTTCTACAGATTTATATGACCCAAGGACTTATTTTAAATTTGTACCACCTGGTATCAGTTTGCATTCCTTTGTGAAACAAGTTACACAGATGCCTCAGACCTGCCAGTCATGCTGGTGCAACCATAGTTACAGGTATCCTATTCCAACTGATTGACAGAATACCATCACCGTAATACCATCTATATATTACATAGGTGATTATTCAAATTTCGCCGTTGGTGGGTTTTGAACTCACAACCTACTACTTGAGGGTATGACAACTTATCCACTTCACTAAGTCACCACACCCTAGGCTTAGTTGTTAAATATATTTATGTAATTGTAATAGTAATTCCAAAATCTTAATAAAGTACTAAAATGACTACTTATATATATATATATATAAATATAATAAATAATACATCCCTTAGTAAAAAAATAAATATATCTAAAAGTTAATTTTGTTAATAATTAATATTTGAATTTTTGAATATTTAAAAAATTATTTAACAAAACAGACTCCTATTCCTAATATGCTGCCGGAAGCTTATACCCGACAATCACGTGAAATGTTTCAATTTTCGCGTGACTGCAATTGACTAATAAAATTTAATGTATTTCGACATTATCGCGCATACTGCGCCAAAAAGATAGCATTTTTTAAAACGCTAAAACTTTTTAAAGACAAATTTTTTTAAAAAAATTGACTGATAACTTTATACACAGGAATGAGCTCTACAAAGTTATCGGTTAATTTTTTTAAAAAAATACTTCTGTAGAAAGTTATAGCTGTTCGAAAAAACCCTAAATTTTCAAATCGGTATGACTCTTTATAGAAGAACTTTGTTAAAAAAATTAACCGATAACTTTGTAGAGCTCATTCCTGTGTATAAAGTTATCAGTCAATTTTTTTAAAAAAAGTTGTCTTTAAAAGTTTTAGCGTTTTAAAAAATTCCGTCTTTTTGGCGCAGTATGCGCAAGAATGTCGAAATACATTAATTTTATTAGTCAATTGCAGTCACGCGAAAATTGAAACATTTCACATGATTGTCGGGTATAAGCTTCCGGCACCATAGTATTTTAATAGAATTTTGCTATTTTGAATTTTGACTTATTTGATCTATATTAAACCTATTTTTAATCTGTAATCTACTAAGTCAGATGACTTATACAGATCAACTAATCTAAATAAGTCTTTTAGTTTTAAATAATGCAAAAATAAAAAACTATTCATAGTTATAATGTTAAATTAAAAGAAAAACAAAATGCTTGCTAAATAAAAATATTGTTTTTATAGACTTACAAGAAAACAACCTTTATACTTTAAATATTATATAAAGCCATTAATACTATTGTAAATATTTCAACTACAATAACATATTTAGAAAGAACATATTATTTCTATTATAACTAATTAGTTTGAACAAATCCATATTAGAACAGCAATTTTATATTATCTAGTTCATTATAATTTATTAAATATTACTAATATAATAATATTTTTCTTTTTGTTAGGTTCTCTTTATTGAATAATCAAAAGCTGATTTTTCTTTAATATTAGTATACAAAAATAATCTTTTCAAATGCTGTACAACATAAGAGATAACCCTCATTGATTGCTTATTATATTATCATCCGGTAATTCTACAACGACAGGAGCATACTCTCCTTCCTCTTCGTCATCATCAATTGACAGTTCTAATCGAAATTGCTGACCGAGAAATCCTCGGAACTTGTTAAATCGACGTCGTAATAATTTTAGTTCAGTAGATGAAGATTGTGTTGGCAAATCTGAAATGGTCTTGCCTAGAATCTTTATAGAATGTTTAATGCACAAATCAAGTGTTTAATAAAGTATAATTAAATGTAGATTGGCAAGCAAAATAATATATACAGTCAACCCTTCATAAATAATACATTGCATTTGGTGTACCTATTTGAAATAACACTTGCCTGAAATTAAGCATTAATTCTGATTAGGTGTTACTTTAAATATCTAAGGTAATTACTTCAGATAGGTAACTATTCCAAATACAACATATATAAACACCAAATTTACTTCTCCTAAATACAGATATTTGATTTTATTCTAAATTTATAAATCATAAATATTTACTCTTCTAAATGCAACTCATAAAATTCTGTCTTAGGTCTTGGTAAATAGAACTTAGAAGAGTTGACTGTAAATGTAAGGATTCAGTTAACCTTTAAAACATGCGAAAGAAAATTATCTTCAGAAATAACATCTCGAAAAAAGTCAGGCGGACATTCTTCAAGTTGAAGATTTAGTACATCTATTTATAAAATACTTTATTAATTTTCAACAAATTAAATGAAACCAAATGCAACAAGACAATAAATATTATAAAAATACCGAGAAATTCAGAAAAAAGCGTCGTAGAATAGGTATTAATTGATTCTTTACACAAACAAACCAACTGCACTAAATTCTTCCATTGAGTAAATCCTGCAAAATTTTGTCCTATCAGTAAACACACAAAAGACAGTTGAAGTTCACCTAAAATCTCTTTGTAATCTAATGTTTATAATAAACATATAAAGCAAGAAGAGCTTTATTAGTTATCATTGATAATGTGAAAAGAATCATAGCAAGTTACCGCTTGACAAACATAAAACTTTCCATTTTTATAAATAGAAGTAAGAAGCTCGCACAACAGCCAACTTTTATCCTGACTATATTTCGTTATCTCTTCCCCCACAGCACCAGTTCTCCAACTTTTTTTTAGGTCAAATTTTGTAAAAAGAATAATATCCTCCTGAAACTTCGATGATCCTTTAATGTTTAGTAACTCATCTTCATCTACGGTCGACGATGAAACGTTATTCATCTTTCCTTCGTTAGGTAATATACGAGAAATCAACGGATATGTTATATAATTTGTTAAATTAACCCATTTTTTCCAATCTGTTGACGGCGTTAGTGGATATGTGCCAAGAAATGGATCAAATTCGCGCATGTCTAAGTAATGAGAGGCATTGTAGTTACTTTTTTTTAGTGTTCAATTAAATGTCGAGAGTAGAATTATAAAAGCTAGCTCTAAATTAAAGAGTGTGAATTAATACCTAATTTTAAATGCTCAATTTGTTCTGAATCGGTTTCATCATCTTTCTTTACATCTTCTATCTGAGGATCCCAATATTTGATCACTACCTAAATCATTTAAATTAGATTAATCTTATTAAGTAAAGATAATTAATTGAACAATATATTACCTCCTTTGACTCATAAAATTTAAAGAAACCACTTCTAAGACCAGATGTACCAGATTTATCTGAAGTACTTTTTTGAAAAAAAAGAATTGAATAGCTAAATAAGACAAAAAGAATGGGTCTTTAAAAATCACAAATCTTAATAAATAAAACCTATAATAAACAAAATGTAATCCCGGGGGAATGAGTTTTACGCCTTTAAATCGTGGACCTGTTTGCCATGAATTATAATCTATTCCAAACTTTTTAGTCCATTGGAAAAAATATTATGCATTTAAAATTTAAACGATTATAAAAATAGTAATATTAAAGTAAAATAATCAAACCTCCAACCCTTCAGGTGCATTCAAAAATAACAAAAAAGCACCTTTATTAAATAAAGCTTGTGCTGTTTCCTGATCCATGGTTTGAGAAATTTAAGATTTAAAAATCCCAATTTATATTTAACGCCAAATGATTTTCATAAATGTTGATTGGCTGAAAATTATTAAATAATCTATAACGATAAAAAAAAGTCAGTTAAACTGAAATTATTTATATGTAACATCAAGTGTGATGGATATGATCCCTCACTTGGTGTAGCATTAACGGTTCCTCCTGTTACGAAAAAATTCCGTGCCAGGTTGGTGGCGCATAAAGTTATGTTAGAGCTCTAAACATATGGCCGATTTTTGTCAAACTTTTCAAAACGATCTAATTCTGGTCAAATCTGCATATCATTTGGCCCTGGTTTATCAGTTTTAAAACTGATAAGCCAGGGCCAAATGATCTGCAGATTTGACCAGAATTAGATCGTTTTGTAAAGTATGACAAAAAAAAATCGGCCTATATGAAATGGTTTTTTATGCAGTTGAGAAATAAGCAATCTTTAACAAAACGAACGTTTGTTTTGAACTTTCTTAATTATATTACTTTACACCTGATTTTTGAAATATGATTTGTAGATCATAAAAAACAGAAGAAACTGTTCCAAATAAGGAAATAATGATCCCAATCATGCATATTGGTTTAGCCAATTAAAATTGTAAATCTTTATTATTCAAAATTTATTATATACTGATAACTTAATCAAATTTTAAATTTTATAAAATATCAGTTTAGGTTACAAATAAACTAGTCTAAGCTTTCATTTTTACATATAATTTTTATTTTATTACAAACAACCTTAGTTTATTTCAGTACTTTTGTACTAAAATATATAGTTAAAATTATTAATAAAGATATAAACAAGATCTTACCTTAATACTAAAAAAAAATTTTTATAAAATAAAAAGAAATAAAATTTATATATGTTATCAAATATTATTGTTAGATAAGTAAATATATATTGATTAATTTAAAAGTAGATCATTTTTTATATAATCTTAATAGTATAGAAAGATTATTTTTTTTATTTTTTTTTTAAGTTAAAGTTTTTATTTTTGGAAAATAATATTTTTATTCAAGTTTTTGTAAGAAACAGATGTTTCTAAAAACTTTCTTACATTGAAAATTACAATTAGCATATGTGCACTTTTGGTATCTAACATTACTATACAAGTTCTATACTAAATATTATATCTGCAAGTTAGATATAGATCTTGTTTATTTAAACCTTTGGCATATGTAATCTTTTTGTATTATAGGAATATTTTTAGAGCATTGTCTATCTAAGTTCTTAATGCATATTAGTATCTTTAAAACTATTTTATTCTTAACAAGAAACTTATTAAAGACTGTTATATCACACATACAACTAACTTAGTTTTATTTTTATAAAATTTACTAGAATCTTAGTACCTATTTTTTCAATATTTTCTTTATTATTTTCTATTAACTACTACTCAAAACTAACAGACTCTGATCAGATTACCAATTTAGATAATCTAATTTGATATACTTTTATATTTTTTTCTTTTAATAAATCTGATAATCTGATTAGTTATATACTTTTCTATATATATTTTGTATTCAGTTTATCTAATTTATTTTTTTAAAAAGAGTGTAATAATCTAGTAAAATAGATAGATTGTCAACCTTTAAATAACAGATCTAGAGTTCAAATCTCAATAATAGTAAAAATTTGTAATTTTTTTTGTATTACAGTTAACTGTTTTCTATGATTAGTTAGAATTAGATATCTGTAACCTGTGTCATACCAGCAGGACTGAAAGTTCTAGGCACTTATAAAATATTGTATGAAGAAACACAAACTGGTACCAGATGGTGTGAATCTAAGATAAGTTCTTAGGTCATGTAAATTACAGAAACAGAATAGAAAAACAGAAGTCTATTTAGAAGACTCAAATAAAGAGGTAACCTGAACTTTTGATAATACTATTATAAAGATTAGATTTATAAAACAGAGCTAGAACTTATAAAACTAGGCAAATGTGCTAGTTTTTAAGAAAGAACTAAATGAACCAACTAGGCTGCCAGAATTTTTAGATTTTAAAGAAAAAGGATACATGTTAGCAAATATGTAAACCAGAGATATAGTTCTTATCTACCTTTTTGAGTTATCTGAAATGGCAGCTTAGTGAAACTTGAATTGAATACCAAAGTAGTAGTGATATGTTGTAAAATCAGTATTAGGGTTAGGATGAACTCTACAAAGTCATAGCAGTTTAATAGTATGTCCTGACTATTAGTGTTGGTCTTGGCTATAGCAATACCAGATCAGCTATAAGAATAGAATACTAAAGATTTTGAAAGGTTTAGTACAAGATTAAAGGTTTTAAAAAACTGTTTTAAAGACTTAGTAGTCATGACATATTTTCATTAACATCAGTTAGAGTTATTGGTAGGCAGAAATAGGTAAGTAAATACAGAAACTAGAGTGATTAAATAATAAATCTACAAGCAGGTTTCAAGTATGACAGCTAGTGTAGAACTTTCAGATAAACTACTTAAATTAGACAATAACTAAAGTTGTACAAATAGCTAGTTGTATACTTTTTTCATAGTTGTTTCTTGTGGTTGTAATACAACTATTAGCCAAATATATTATTAATAAAATACTAAGTTACAAGTACTTAATTTAATATTTAAAAAAAAAAAAAATTTATTTCTTTAGAAATCGTTTATAAACTTTAATCAGTTTAATAGTATTATTAAAAGTTTGTATTATTTTTTTATTTAGAAATTTTTAAATAAGTTTCTGGTTTTTCAGTTTTTTAATCTTTTATATCTAATGGTCTTATTATAAGTATATATTAAGGGGTGTGGTGATCTAGTAAAGTAGTCAGATTGTCAACTCTCCAAGTGATAGGTTAGGTGTTCAAATTTCATTAACAACAAAAATTTAAATAATTACCTATATAATATTCATATTATGGCAACTGCTATTAATAATTGAGTTAGGATATCTGTAATGGCAGTTACACTAGCATAACTGGCAGGTTATAGGACATCTGTATAAGTATAATATTACACAAAAAAATGCAAACCAACAAATTGGATAATGTAAATACTAGATAAGTTCTTGTGGCTATGTAAATCTGTTGAAATTAGATAATAAAAAGTTCATTTAAAAAGACTCAAATAGAGAGGTAGTTGGATCTTTGATGGCCTTATTGTAAAGGCTAGCTTAAAGAAACAGATACCAAGGTCATAGTACTCAGTCATAATAGATAAATAGGCAAAAACCTTTAGGTTGAGAGTCTTAAGGGTACTACCAACCAGGCTGTTAGAACAAACTAGAGAAAAAAAATATCAGGCCAACTTGATATACTGATGAACTGATCATAGTTCTATATAGACTATCTGGATTGGAAGTTTGGTAAAAAGGAAGATGAAAAAGCAGAGATATACTAAAATACTAGGGTTATATTATAAAGTAGATGCTAGAGTCTAAGTGAATTCTACAAGGGCATAATAATTTAATGGTTAAGCTCTGACTACAAGTGTTAATTCTATTATAGTAATACCTAGATCAGCTGTAAAAATAGATACAGAAGGCTCTGGGAAGTTTACCTTAAGGATAAATTAGTCCTAAGATTGAGATGATGATCTGGGCATCTGGGTATAACCCAGTAAGTTAATACAAATTACAGGTTTAGAAGGTTTAAAGTAGAACATCCAAGCAGAGGTATTAGATACAGCAATTGATAAAAAACCTTCAGGCAGACTTCTTAAATAGGTAATATAGAAAAGTTATATATATATCCAATTGTATGCTCTTTTGTAATAATTCATTGAACCACAATACCAATAAGTAATTAATAAAAGTTAAAAGACCAAAGAGGTTACCTTAATACCAAAAAAAAAAATAAGTATATATTAAAATTTTATACAATATTAGTTAAAACATTTCTCTATATACATGTATTGTTATACTTTATATAGATATTTTAAACTCTTAATAACAAATAGAAACTAACTTAGTATATCTAAATTATAACTATATAAATCCAACTGATTAATAAAAAATAATTACTATAATATAGATTAATTTCTAAATTATATTATAAATAAAATTTGAATATTAGACCTGGTACTTAAAAGATAATAATCTAACTATTATATTAAAATTACTATTTTTACAAAAAGATTTTATAAATATAGTAAAAATATATTGTTAATAAAGGTTTTCAAAATGAGAATGGTGATCCTAGTATAATGATTAGGTTATTATTCTTCAAGTAGCAAGTCTAAGGTTCAAATCTTACCTATAATAAAATTTGGAAATTATATCTGTATTATAGTAACTGTTTTCTGTCAATCAGTTGGCCTTATGCAGCTGTAATTCAGATACACCAAGTCAGTTTCTATTAACATTAGAAGCTTAAAACATTTATGTGAAGTATAATGTTATACATATATAGAAAAATGTATAATTAGTATTGTATAAGACTTCAGTGCAAACTTACAATAAAACCACTAGATGTAAAAGACTAAGGAACCAAGATAACAGAAACCTACTTGAAAATTCTTAAGTAAAGAGGTAGCATAAGTTTTGACAATACTATCAGACTAGTTAAAGCCTATAAAACATCTTTATAAGAACCAAAGATTAAACTAAATATCAAATATATATAAAAAAGCATATAACCAACCAGGCCATCAGATTTATCAAAGGAAAAGAATACAGAAGTATATTATACTGGGCTATCTGAATTGGTAGTTTAGAAGAGACTGCCAGTTCTGAGTTGTGGCTAGTAAAGAATGATAGAAAAGATGCCAGAAAGATAGGCATTAGGGTTTTAGTAAACTTTACAAAGATAGAAATAGTATAATATAGCAGTTAAACAGATAACTTTTATAACTGCAGGTGTTAGGTAACTATAGCATATTGCATAAAACTAGGTCTGTATATATAGAATATAAAGGTTCTAGTAAGTTTTTTGTTAAGAATAAAATAGTTCTAAGAGTACCAACTAGCATCAGGAACTTGAATAGGTGTAACCTTAAAAATGTTCTTATA